CCTAAGTATAAAATATGTATGACTATTTGAACATGCCCATGTTTTACCTTTAGAAACTCATGGAACTTTGTGTTCTTGTCTGCATATTTAATTTGAAAATAATTTTTTCTCTCTGCTTACTTCCTTTAGTAAGAGAGGTATTGCAAAGACATCTATCATCTGTTCTCTGGCTTTTGGCATCTTCTGTATGCCCCAGTGCCCAGGTCTGACAAGCAAAGAATAGGGTTGTAGTCTAGTATGGCAGCACACCAGTTTTCTGTGATTTGGGGAATTGCCCCCTCAGAAGTATTATGTCACGGGACAGAGGAGGGTGAGCTCATCTTGTTCTCATTGGCTGGGATGTTCCTGGAAGGCTGCAGTCAGTTGGAGGCACCTCATTACAAGAGTGCTGGGCCCAGTTGGAGAGAGTTCACAGGAGACCCACAGGAATGCTTCCAGGACCACAGAGGCTGCCTGATGAGGAAAGGGTATAAGTGGAACCAAGACAGCAGAAGTATACAACTGTGTAAATATCCCAGGAATATAAACTTGATGGGGGAGGGCAGCTCCTTGTGGTATGGTTTGGGATGGGGAAAAATCCAAGAGTAAAATTAAGACAGTATAATTATAAACTAACAGTTCAAAACGTATAATAGGATACTATATTTGTGGGAATCTTCTTAGACCACTCTACCATATGGGCCTTGTCCCATGTAAATGATTTTTCTTTTAAGCATTGGAGAATACACTGGAGAACTGCATTTTTCTTACATTCTGCCTGTTTTGTGGAAACCAGTAAGTAACAACATAATTCTTGCATGCTGCCACCACCTCTAAATGCACCTGAAGTAGACTTCCACATGGGTGTTTTCTTGGCGTCTTAGACTAGCATTTTAAGGGCTGGAAAGATGGCTCAGTGGTTGTTAAAGAACATTTGCTGCTCTTGTAAAGGACCTGGGTTTGGTTCCCAGCACTCAGCTGGTGGTTTATAACCATTTGTAATTCCAGTCCCAGGGGATCCAATGCCCTCTTCTGACTCCCCCAAGCACACATGAGATGCACACATATCTGCAGGAAACCCTCATATACATAAATAAATTTTTAAAATATATGAATAGTATTTTGAAAACAGACCAAGTTATTAGTGTGTATTAAAATAATTTTTGGAACAATAATATATTTGATCCTTCAGGTACATTGTACAACAAAAATCTTGCTTAGCCTTTGGAAGTGATTGAATGAGCTTCTTGGTTGTTCTATGAATACAGACACGAGGGTTTTACTTAAGAGCTAAAATAAGAGCCAGGGATGGTTATACACACTTGTAAGCCCAGCAGTTGGGAAGCAGAGACGGGAGGGTGGTGAGTTTCAGACTAGCCTATATTACATATTGAAAGCCTGTTCTCCAACCATAGGAGAGGAAAAAGAATTGAAACGAGAAGCCTTTGCATAATTTTGTGAGTTTTCTAGCTTTTTTTTTCTAGAAGGGGCATAGTAGAATGAGAAGAAAATAATTTTATGCTTTCTCTGATTTTTTTTATAGAAATATATTCATATTTACAAAAGGTAGCTATAACTTTAAAATAAGACCTTTGGGCTGGGTCTAGTAGCACAAGCCTATAAGCACAGCTCTTGGGAAGCTGAGACAAGAGGATTGTGAGTTCAATCCCAGCCTTGGCTATGTAGAGAGGTCCTGTCTCAAAACCAGGTATTTGCAGTCTTTGCCTCAAACACATCAGATAATATATACATACCGCAGCTCCTTGGCTCTGCCTTGTGCAAAACTGAGAATAGACTAGGTATGTGAATGAGTGAACTTGGCCATTTTTATTGTTTGTATTAAAAAAAAAAAAACCAAGACCAAACAGATAAATTTGACGTACAGATTATTTTACTAACTCCTGCTTTAAGTCTCTTGTACCTGAAAGTATAGTCTCTAATACCCAGCAGCATTAAGGATTCCCTGTAAGGCTGTTTAGAACATGGGGAGCATTAGGGCTTCCTGCTCTACAGTTGAGGCAGTGCTTATGAAACATTTAAGTGTGTAGAACTCATTTGAGGAACTTGTAAGAGAGTACAGACCCTGAGAGCCCAGAGCTGACCACCTTATTAACAAAGGTTAGACATACTCAGAATCCTGGGAGCTACCATCTTACTGCATTACTGTTATGTAAACAAATTATAATACAGATTACATGTGCTGTAATGTAGGTATTTCTGGTTTAGGAGTATCACAAAGGAGGAGGTGATTGATTCTGCCTAACATGGGTAGAGTCCATAGGGAAGCGTGGGAGTTGGGCAGGGAACGGGCAGCAGTGTGGAGGTTGAGTCTTGAAGCTTACTAGAGGTAATTGAGAATTTGAGGTGGGGTTGAGAACATGAGACCCTATCTCCAAAAGAGGAAACAGGAAACCCCAAAATATAATTTTCCTATTCTCTACCCCTCTTTTAAAGAAAGTAGGTCTCCCAAAATTAAATATTCTTCAGAAATAGGAACTTTTTACTGTCTTTGTTTTATTAAGAATTTGGAAAACTAGGGCTGGGGAGATGGCTCCGTGGTTAAGAATGTGTACTGCTTTTCCAGAGGGCTGAGTTCAGTCTCCGGCACCTGTGTCAGGCAGCTTACAGCTGCCTGCAACTCCAGCTCCACAGGACCCCACGTCCTCTTCTGACCTCTACAGGACCTGCACCCATACACACGCATCCGTTCGTTCTCTCTCTCTCTCTCTCTCTCTCTCTCTCTCTCTCTCTCTCTCTCTCCCTGCATCCCCCTCAAATGTTTAGAAAAGAGAGAGAGAAGACTTTGATAACCCATGCGCAGTGGTGCACATCAGGCCAAGGCCTTGGCTGAGAGTGAGTTTGAGACAACTGAGCTACATGAGACTCTCAACAAAATAAAATAATATAGGGAAGATGTGAAAAATTATTTGTAATTACATATATTCCAAGAGACGTTCACTCTTAACATTTTTGCTTTCCTCTAATTTTTTTTAAAGATGTATTTATTTTATGTATGAGTGCTCTATCTGCATGAACACCTACGTGCCAGAAGAGGGCATCAGATCCCATTATAGATGGTTATAAGCTACCATGTGAGTGCTGGGAATTGAACTCAGGACCCCAGGAAGAACAGAGAGTGCTCTTAATCACTGTGCCATCTCCTCAGCCCTCTTCCTCTGATTTAAAAAATTTTTTTTTTTTTTGGTTTTTCGAGACAGGGTTTCTCTGTGTAGCCCTGGCTGTCCTGGAACTCACTCAGTAGACCAGGTTGGCCTCGAACTCAGAAATCTGCCTGCCTCTGCCTCCCAAGTTAAAAATACTTTTTAAAAGATTTAATATTTTTATTAATGTGTATGTGTCTATATGCCATTTGTACGCGTACCCATGGGTTCCAAAAGATATCAGATCCCCTGGATCTGGAGTTATGCGTGGTTATGAACCGCCCGGTGTGGGCGCTGGGAACCACATTTAGGTCCTCTGCAAGAGGAGCAATTATTGTTAATCACCGAGGAGTATCTCCAACCACCCGTTTAACGTCTTTATATAACTATATAATGCTGTTTCTAAGATTGGGCTTGTACTATATGAACAATGTTGTTGTGCTTACTTTTCCATTCAACATTTTATTTGTGAACATTTCCCAATTTGGTATTTTTGTTCCTTAAAAGTTTCATTTTTAAGTTATCATATAACATTCTATCATGAAGATCTTGAATAGTTTACATAACTATTCCCTTGTTTGTCGATCCTTTAAACTGGTTCCAGTTGCTGGTTGACCCATGTTTTGGCTCATGTACTTGGCAAGTCCATCACCATGTGTTAAAATACTTGCATATACTTACCCATTTCTAATTATAAAAGTCTGCCAACTTATTTGATCTGCTGGCCTCCAGTCCTTCTGTTCTGGTTAGTTTAGCATTTTGTGTTTTCTCCCTTCGTTTCCCTTAGCAGAAAGATAGGAGAATGTTCATTAAAAATGTGGACTCTGGGACCAAACTGTCTGCTGCTTTTGTGAGTTAACTGAGAAAATATCTTACTCCTTATGTCTGGACTATCAAATCTGGATAAGTAGTCCTGTATCTGTGCCTAAGAAAGAGAACTGTATCTGCATTGGGATTTCTGAAGGCTGATAATAGTCTGTGCTGTTGGTGAGGCTGTCTCTTCCTGTTCACTGCTTAGTAGCCCCTTTTCATTTGCTTTATGGTAGCTCTTTGTATATGTGCACCCATAACCCCTTTTTTGCTACATTTGGTCCCTGAATGTCTGAGAGTTATGAAATGACTTTACTTGGTAACTTTATTTTGAAAATTGACAACTCGTAACTCCCCTTTTTGGTCTTGAACTCATGATCATCCTGCATTAGCCTCCCAGGTGCTGGGATTACAGGTGCACACTACCACACCAGCCCAGATTTTTAAATTTTAGTGATATTGTCATCTTTTACCTTGTCTTGGAAGTGTGTGCATGAGTGCAGAGGAAGTAGCCTGCCTAGGCGGACAAATCAGTGTTAAAGCTCTGCTGGCTGAGCACTGAGTCGTTTCCATGGCGTGCCCTCTGAAAGCTGCCTCTATCCCGCCTTCATCTTTGTTCTCTCCACGTGCTTCCCACGCCCTGTGTCCCAGTCCCGTGAAGCTCCAGTGAGGCTTGAGGCTGTGATGAGTCTCTTTAATCTGTACCTTAGCTTATCTCCACTGAAAGACGGGTGTTTGAAGAGTTGGAGGTTCTGCGGAGAGACACGCTTGTAGGCAGTGAGGTTGCTAGGGGACCTTTGTGGACTTGCTGGAGTAGCTTCAGAACCATGAAGTTTGTGTTGGAAAGCTTGGTCAGAATTTACCAGCTCTTGATTACTTTAGTGTACTTATGGCATGGTGTAGCTCTTCAGTTGCTAGGGTGGTTTTTTCGTGGTGATGGTGGTAGTGTGTGTGAGCATGTGTGTGAGTGTGTGTGTGTGTGTATGTATGTATGTGTAACATCTCTTGCAGAAGCAAAAACTTACTGTAGTTACCATTTTTTCTTTATAGGAGGATCCTGGTGTACCAGAGCAGATGCCTCTTTTCGTGTTGGTTGTATCTTACACTAGAGGAGCCCAGGAATGAGATATTCTTGGGCTCTGTTTCTTCATCCAGCATTCAACTGCTTCAGTGCAAAAACACTTGACTCTTCTCTTCCTGGGACACAATTAACCTCACTGAAGAGTTGATGGACAGATCCTTTCTGCTGACTTTTTGGCTTTTTCTTTCTTTCTTTTTCTTTTCTTTTTCTTTTTTAATGTGCAAGTTAGAAGACAAGTGAAACAAGCGAGAGGTTGCCTGCTTTGGTGAATAACTTGGTTCTTAGAACATGGGCCCTCGCTTAAAGGTAAGTAAGCATCGTTAAGTGCACTGTGTCAGAAACATAGGCACGCACCTTTCTTCAATGTCTGTTGATTAGAGAACAGTAAACTCACATTGTACAGTGGTTTTGTGGCAGTGATTTGCCAAGTACGTCTACTTTCCTAACTTACCAAGACAAACATAGGTTCTTTCACTCTAATCTTAATTACTAATGTTTACCCTCTGCCCACATGGTATACATCATGGAGTAGATACTCTGTATACCTATATAGATATAAATATGTCGATATTATATGTTATATATATAAAATACATAGTGAACACACACACACACACATACAATTCCAGTTGAAGGTTATAAAGGGGTTAAATGGGTTGAATTGATTCAAAGTGTTTCAGAGAAAGAACCTGGGCAGCTGATAGGAGTAGAATGTGAACATGCTGAGCACTGCTGCTACCATAGAGTCAGGCTGCAGGACCAGAGCTGAGATTAGCCTCGGGGTTTAGTGAAGCTGCAAAGGGAAGGTGCAGACCAGAGTCGAAGAGTGGGACAAGATCCAGATGAATGGACAGGGAGAGATGAAGAAACTGCAAGACAGGTGGCAGTTTGAGTAAGCCATGTCATTAGTAGGGAGTGAGCTGAGCTGAAACCACTGTGCAACACACACACACACACACACACACACACCATGCCACACCCTGGGTGGTTCAGGTGAGAGAGGGGCACCCTTTCCTCAGTCTGGTGTGTTTCCTAAAGAGATTCAAATCCATACATGTGTTGTTGTAGTCTAAGTTACTTTGGCCAATGTATAGAGGGCCCTTTCTACTTTGAGGAAGAAGTGTGTCAGACTATGCTCATTGGTTGTCTGCACAGATTGTTGCTTGCTTGTGCACCAAGGGGTAGTCATCTTTGATCCTCCATCCTCAAGATGGAGTCAGTTGCTACTGATAAAATGGAGGTTCTTAGGGCGGGTCACTTTTTATACAATGTAGAGTAACTTTTTTTTTTGTTTTTTTGTTTTTTTGAGACAGGGTTTCTCTGTGTAGCCCTGGCTGTCCTGGAACTCACTCTGTAGACCAGGCTGACCTCGAACTCAGAAATCCGCCTACCTCTGCCTCCCAAGTGCTGGGATTAAAGGTGTGCGCCACCACCGCCCGGCCCAACATAGAGTAACTTAGGACCTGATTTCTACACTGAGCCAGTAGACTGTGCTGAGACTCAGCTACTGTGGTGGAGAACGTGGGTCGGTAGTCAGACCCTCAGCCTCTCTGGCAAGAGAGAACAGAGGAAGCACAGGCTGCAGTGAGGTTCAGCTGGTTATAGCAGAACAGTTTTGAACTAATTCTTCATTTTTGAAAAATGACTTTTTTTACAACTGATCTTCAGCAGTGCGGCTAAAATGTATTGGATGTTGCAGAATTTAGAATATGTACGTCTGTTATCATTTTGGCATTTCCTGAAGGTAGGTATTTTCAAGCATTCCCTCCCTTTTTATAAGTCCTGTGAGCTAAAGTAAGCTCTAGCATTAAGCAACTTGCCTAGAATCCTGCAGTCAGCAGGCGATACCTCTGTACTAGATAGCTGGCACCGAGTTCTGTTTTGTGTCTCCATGCGTTATTTCTACTTCAAAAGATAACAGAAAAGCCATAAGAATTTGTAGTCCTGATCTTAGCTTTGCTGTGAAATTCCTCACAATTAAGTTGGGTGACTTCTCTCTTTCTGTCTTAATTTGCTTGTTTTCTTAAATCCTTTTTCTCCAAATACTTGGCTATTTCTGTTACTTCCTTCTTTTTCATGGTTCAGAATTATGGGTTCAAAGTTGAGGGCTTCAGTTAGATGTGGGCTTGTTACTTAAACCACTATGGGAATGATAATTTTAGGCACTGTGTAAAGATTGTCCTTGTATTACTCAAATGCTGATTTCTGTACCCAGAGAGTCGAGAACATTCTGGACTTTGGTCATTTTTGTGAAGCATTTCCTACCTCAATATTTTGTAAACACTCCTTCTCTTATCCCATGATTGGTTCAATAAAGAACTGATTCAGCCAATAGCTGGGCAAAGGAGAATAGGGCAGGACTACCAACCCCAGTGTGTGTGTGGGCTCTCAAAGGAGAGGACAGAGAGGAAGGAAGGAGGAAGAGGGAGAGGAGGAAGAATAGGAGGAAGAAGAAGAAGAGGAGGAGGAGGAGGAGGAGGAGAAGAGAAACCACGAGGAGAAAGCAGGAGGATTTGCCATGAGGACACATGAACTAGAGCTAACCAGGGCAAGACCAGATGGTAAGTCATGGGACATTTGGTTGGTTAGTAGCAGCTTAGTTGGGTTAGAATAGATCAGAATAAAAATACCAGGTCTTTGTATCTTTATTCGGGAGCTAAAATGGACTAGAGCAGGCATAGATACGCCCTGCAGATACAAAAGGGGTACACAGGGGCAGAGAAAACCCCCAAGAATTGCTTTTACTTTCTAGGCCCAGCTTGTTTGTTTTGTTGCTTGACCTGTGGAGTGAGAATTCCAGTCTTATCTTGTGGTCACAATTAGGGTTCTTAGAGTAAGATGAGTAAAGCCCATTGGGCAGTGGTTGGCTTAAGTACTTAGTGCTAGAGCAGCCCTCATTCACAGAGACAAGTCCAACCTTTGACTATTGTGATGCAACCTGGTCATCTACAGAGGCCATACTCTAGAACTGTGCATTGTTACCAATAAAGAAAAAGAAAATCTCATAATGCTCAAATAAGTTAATGGTTTTGTGTAAGGCCAAATTCAACATTATCCTGGGCTGCATGTGGCCCACTGGCTGCACCTGTACATACCTTTGAGTTACTAGTTTATCAGTACTACTGCTAGTCTTCAGGCTTAGAGTGAGACTTTATAAGGGCCAGAATATTGTAGAGAGGAATGTCAGCTAACTTGGAAGTAGGTTGTATAGAGTAGTATGTTTGCCATGTTTCTTATGCTTAGATTAGAGTAGAGAGGTTCCAGTGTAGTTTGCACAGAAGTGGGAACAGCAGAGAGTAAAGGGTACTGTAGATACAAGCTCCTTGTGAACATTTGATAGACTATTGAACTGAAGCAATTTAATAATTTTGGGCCTTAAAGAGCTTAATGATTCAATCCCAGCACTTGGGAGGCAGAGGCAGGTGGATTTCTGAGTTTGAGGCTAGCCTGGTCTACAGAGTGAGTTCCAGGACAGCCAGGGCTCCACAGAGAAACCTTGTCTCGAAAAACCAAAAAAAAAAAAAAAAAAAAAAAAGAGCTTAATGAATATATTGGTTCAAGTGAAAATACTGATAAGTAAGGAAATGTTTGAAAACTGTTTTAGGCCTTGGGTGTGGTAGCCACACGCCTTTAATCCCAGTACTTGGGTAGCAGAGGCAGGTGGTTCTCTGAGTTTGAGGTTAGCCTGTTTGACATAGTGGTTTCTGGTTCAAATAGGACTATGTAGAGAGACCCTGTCTCAAAACAAACAAATTAACAAAAACTGCATTAGGGTTAGGAGTGTGGCTTAGTGATAGACTTCTGACTAATGTACAAGGCCTTGGATCCCACCCCAGGACTACAACAAAAACTAAGCTGTGTCTAAAAGATAGGTTTCCTCGGAAACTCTTGAACTTAAGTCATCTGAATGAAGGAAAGGACAGACAGTTGACAATATCCATTTAACCAATACTTTATTCATATTCATTATAATTTTATCTACAATTAGGCTGGATGCTTATGAGGATGTAAAATATTTCTCATATGTGCTGTCTATGTGTATGGAATGTGCATGCTGATTCAAATACATAATGTGCATTGTGGTGGCTTGAATATGCTTGGCCCAGGGAGTGGCACTATTAAGAGGTGTGGCCTTCTTGGAGTAGGTGTGGCCTTGTTGGAGGAAGTGTGTCACTGTGGGGCTGGGCTTTGAGACACTCCTTCTTGCCACTTGGGAGCCAGTCTGCTCCTGGCTTCCTTTGAATGAAGATGTAGAACTCTCAGCTCCTCCAGCACCATGCCTGCCTGGATGCTGCCATGCTTCCCACTATGATAATAATGGACTGAACCTCAAAACTGTAAGCTAGCCCAAATTAAATGTTGTCCCTTACAAGAGTTGCCTTGGGCCGGGTGGTGGTGCCATACGCCTTTAATCCTAGCACTTGGGAGGCAGAGGCAGGCGGATTTCTGAGTTCAAGGCAGTTCTAGGATAGCCAGGGCTACACAGAGAAACCCTGTCTCGAAAAATCAAAAAAAAAAAAAAAAGGAGTTGCCCTGGTCACAGTGTCTCTTCACAACAATGAAAACCCTAAGACATGCACACACATGTGCGAAAGCCCAAGGTTGATAAATGTCTTTCCTTGATGGCTTTCACCTCTATTTTTGAGTTAGAATCTCTCACAGAACCTAAAGTTTGTTATCAGTTTGGCTAGGCTGACTTGCCAGTGAGCTTCAGAGATCTGCTTGGTTTTGCCCCAACAGGGCTGGGATTGCAGGCATTTTTACACGGGTTCTGGGGACCCAAACTCAGGTCCTTGTCCTTGTGCGTCAGGCACCAACTAGGCCATGTTCAGCTCCCATAGGAGAAGGTTTAAGATTAGTTTTTGTCTTAGTTACCTTTTTGATGAAAAACAAAACAAGAAGAAAAGAATGTAAATGGCATAAAACAAACTTTTAAAAGTTAAGTACAAATTCAGAGGTAGAAAGAATTTCTAAATTGAAAATTAGCAATTTTAGGGAGTAAGGGGTTAGGCTTTTCCCTAGAGCTTGAGGTTAGGAGTTATTCCATGAACAGAAACTAAACTGGGAGGATGTGTAGACAGTGGACATGACTTTTTACAAAGTTCTTATTGGCATATGTTAATTAAATATATCTGTAGAATACATTTTGGTTATATTTGCAGAAGCATGGGTACTTTACTAGTGGGTGTATCACAGAAGAAAATATCTCCCCAAATATCGTCCAGTAATTACCCATAAATCGTCAAGAAGGGGTGGAGCCTCATGAGTTCATCCCTTCTCCATGCTAAGATGTTAACAGGCTCCATCTTGTGCAGGTCTTGTACAGGTAGTCATAGCTCCTGTGAGTTCAAAAGCTCAGCAGCTATGCCGTGTCTGGCCGACAGTATCCCACCGCTTCCCTCCTTCTTTGCCTCTTAAGTTCTGTGGCCTCTCTTCTGCAGTGCTTCTTGAGCCTTGAATAGGCTGATGCAGATGTCTCATTTGTTCTCCAGTGTTCACTATTCTTATCATTTGACCAGCCATGAGTACAGCTACCCCGGCCCACAGCCCATCGACAGTTCTCTAGTAACCACGAATGACAACAGCAGTGCCCTGTGAATATAAGCATTCCTTAGAAGGGAGTTTAACAGACATTGTTTCCATTTATACCAGCTTCAGCAGTAGCTTTTCTGCTGTGGTCTGAGATCTCACTCATGGATTTTGATCAGGTTCTGTACCAGGAGGTGACAGTTTTTTAGTTTTTCAAGACAGGGTTTCTCTGTGTAGCCCAGGCTGTCCTGGAACTCACTCTGTAGACCAGGCTGGCCTGG